ACTGTTGGATGCTTTAAATTGCCAGCAAGCTTCTCTTTAGCTCGAGCCAAAAATCTCCCTCCTCCTAACACGCACTTCTCCCACCTGTCCACGGGCTGCCTTCTGGGGCCACCAGAATGTGTGTAAACCCAGCTCTTCCTCCCTGGCGCCTGGGGGAGGCCCCTGCTGTCACATTCCCAGCTGGCATGAGAGGGAGCTGGCGTGAGGAGAAGAGAGCCAGAGGGAGGCTGGCATTCCCATGGTTGGAGGTGTGCGTGTGTGTGCATGCATGAGCACGCACGCGTGTGCGGTGTAGATGTGGCCAGAGATGGGGGTGGGTGATCTGAGAAGAAGGCGCCCATCCAGGGGCTCTGCCAGGGTGGGCATGGACAATCTCTGCTCCCGGAATTTGCATCTGTTTGCTCAGGTGGCAGTGGTGGTAAAGGCCGGGTATGTGTGTGGTGGTGGTGGTGGTGGTGTGGGGTGTGTGTGTGTGTGGGGGGGTGTATGTGTGGGGGGTGGTCACTGAGGCTCTCTATCGGGAGGAAGGCCCAGGTCTGAAATGGTGGGTACAGTGGGAAGCGCCTAGAGTGGAAGGCCAGGAAGCTTTGTTTTAGTCTTGCTCTGCTGTGTGGCCCTGGATCAGTCACTGCCCCTCTCTGGGACTCTGTTTCCACCTCAGATAAAGCCAGAAGATTGAACTCTGTGACCTCTGAATTCTGTGGTTTAGAGTCTGAGCGGCCTACTCAGTCTGGGTTGTCTGCAGAGGGCAGTGGTCCTTGTGGAGGCCAGATCAGAGAAAGGTGGGCTCTGAGCTCCACACGTCCCTGCAGCCTGTGGGCAGCGCAAGGTGGCAGGAAGGCCACAGGCATGAGAGCCAGTGGACCCCTGACCTGCACTCACACTTGGGCAATGAGTTTCTCACGTGAAGTTCAGGCTGCTTGTCCGTAAGCCTGGGGTGATGAGTGGACTCACCAGACTCCTGGAATTCGGGGTTAAATGAGACTGTGCAGGCGGTGGTCCAGCCAGGTGGTCCAGCCAGGTTCTGGGGTGGGGATCCCAGAAGTCACAGCCTATGTGCCACTGTGCCACTAGCCTGGCCTGGCTATGGAAGACTAGAAGGAGGTTGTCAGCCTAGGAGGACCTGGAAAGGGTCTGTGGGAGAGGGCTCAGTGGGTGAGAGAGAAGGCCAGGTCCCAAGAGTAGCCGAGGCATCCCCAGCCGACCCCCCCTCGTTGGGTCCCCTCCTCACTGGCTCAAGGCTGCAAAGTCCATCTGTGGGTAGGAGGCACTGGGTAGCTGACTGGGTGCAGAGTCCCAGGGAACATGGGAGAGGTCAGGTCCCCAGAGGAACAGGGGCCAGAGATGGCTGGTAGTGTGCACTGAGCTGACTTGTCAGTCAGTGGGCACTGGAGAAGAAGAGTGTGTCTTGGGGAGCAGTGGATGGACTGTGGGTACAGGGGGCTTCCAGTGCCCTGCATGAGCCTGGGGGAAGGGCCATTGCCCTGTAGAACTCTAGGGGGACCTTTTGTTTACCTGATGTAGTTGTGCAATGCAATGGCAAGGTGGCATGGAGATCTCCAGCCGGTGGCAAGGAGATCTGAGGCCAGAGAGCTGTGTACCAGCAGAGGAAGGATGGTGTGTCCTAGGTTTGCAGGAACCCCCTGCATCCTGGGGGGAAGGGTGGGTTGGAGGCTGGGTCAGCAGAAACTTAGTTCCAGGGAGGGGAAGAGCAGCAGGCTTCCCAGGGAACTGTGGGGGTGGGGTGGGGTGGAAAGAACGCAGGTGTCCACTTAGCACACACTCCTCTTGGGGCCCTCCCTGTCTCACAAGCCTGAAGCTGCCCCAAGGGTCCCTAGGTCTGTGGAGAGAGGACCCAGGGAGGGCTGGGGCTTCCTTCTGGCCAGCCCGGCAGTCCCTGTGCCGGCACCGAGCCAGGCTGGCCTGTGCTGCGGAGCTGTGGGCTGTGGGGAGAATGAGTAATGAGTCGTGAGGGGCCCTGGTTCCCAGACCCTGCCCTCACCCCTCCCTGGCGACACTGCACAAGCCCAGTCTCTGCCCCCCACAGCTGCCTCACAGCACAGGACCCGCTCCCGTCCCACACTCCCCTCCACAGCTTGGCACACACAGCCCCGAGGAGTCACCCCCTCCTGGATTCTCATGCAGTTTGCCTCCCCCCACCCTCACTGGCCTCCAGGTAAATTCCTTCTGGCTCCTAGGACCCAGGCAGCTACCTCCCAGCCTCTGGATGCCTCCTCACCAACCTTCACTTGATCTGTGCTCTGCCAACCTCCCCAGCAAGGGAGACCCTGCCCTGAGGCTTTTTCAGTAAGAAGCCCTCTGCTAGCTCCCCTAGGGTATGACAGAGGGATTGGGCTCCATGGTGGGGCAGGGGGAACTAATCCCCTCCTTCTCCTGAACTGAGGGGTGAGTGGACAGAGCACGAAATCCTATTCCCTCTGCTAGAGGAAATCGATAGCTAATTAATTCCCTCCCCAAAATGTGTTGGGAGGTGGGGGTGGGGTTGGGGAGAGAGGCAGGGCCAGTGAAGACTGAGACCCTAGCAGAGGGGGAAAATGACAGAGGAAGGGTGTCACTCTTTTGGCCTCCTGGCCTGTGGTCTCTGCCTCGGTTGAGGGTCTCCCTGCTCCTTCTGGAGAGGAGGGGGTTTGGCCTTTCCCTTCCCCAAGCCTAAGGGTCCCCCTCCCCTGCCCTGGGCCAGGGTGGGGGTGCATGTGTGTGGGGGTAAGGGCGTCAATCAGCCTGGGAGCAGGTGCTGCATTTAATTTGATTGGCTAATTAGCCCGCGCATGTTAATTATCTCCATTACCCAATGAGGAGAGGCAGTGGCAAAGCTATATATAACCCGGACAGTGTTCAGAGGGAGAGGGGGCTGTCTTCCTGGATTGCCTTCTGTCCCCTGCTTGGGAAGGGGCAGCCCTTGGAGGGGCAGTGAGGCAGGACACTTGAGTCCCCATCGACGCCTGTGGGATTGGGCAGGGGGTGGGGTGCTGGGGGTGACAATCAGAAAACAGCCTGATGGAAGGACTTGAGAACTTGGCTTTGAGGGTCTCTTGGAGATGGCTCCCCAAACTCTCCCGCTCTTCTCCTGAGGACTTCTCTGTCCCTTCTTCCTTGGCACACTTGTCATCCAACCATCCCTGCCCTCCCTGACTCTCTGCTCACTCCCCTGCTATGGTTTTTTAGGGTGCCCCTAGCTTTTTCTCTCTCCCCTCATACCCCGGCTTCCTCCCATGTAGAAAGGGACTACACCCATCTGATCTCCCTCACCTCTCCTCCTTTTGTTTCTCACTGCCCTGAGCTACACCTGTGGCTGCCCCATCGTTTGTCTCCTTGTGGACAGGCTGGAGTCTGGCCCATGTGGATATTAAGTTCCAGTTCTCTGCTGATGGGCTGTGTGCCCTTGGGCAAGTCCCTAGACTTTCTATGTGGGCTTCCCCAGTGGTTAATGGGAATAACGGGACTTCTCAGAGTAATTAAGTAAAATGCCATTTGTAAAAATGCCCAGCATCCAGGGCTTTGACAAATGCCGTTTGGAATAATTTTCTCCATCTTCTCTTTCCTCTTCTCCCCATCAGGCCACCTTTCTCCTCCATTACTCTTCTGTCACCTTTCCTGCGATTACCTCCCCTGCCCCCGCCCCCCTTCAATCTTTCCCTATCTCTTCCTAAACTTTGGCCCCTCCCTGCTTCTTTCCCAAGCTTCTCCCCACCTCCTTCCCTTCCTCCCTCCCCAAAATAAAATCAATGCAATATTCAGGAGGGTTGTTGGATATAAATAATTACGACTCGGAGTTTAACGAGATGCAAATTCCCCTCCCCGGTGTGGGGTATAAATTGCTCTCTGACAGCCAGTTACAAGGGTAATCATTTCAGAAAGGCAATTTTATGTAAATAAGCTTGCTTGCCTCCTGGTGGCTCCCCCAGCCCTGGATGGGGAGGGAGGTGGAACTGAGGGGTGAAGAGAACCCAGGTATTGGGCCAGGCCTGAGGCTGAGGACTGGAAACTGGATGTTGAGGGTGACAGACATTTAGGTTTAGGAAGGATCTGGGCTGGTGATCAGTGGGGTTGGGGCCCAGGCCGCGGTGAGTGTTATTTGGGGGGGATTGGAGATGTGGAATCAGATGCTTGTGTCCTTGCATGGATGGAGAGGGTTTGGGGCCTGGCCGATCCTCGCTAGCTTCTCTCCCTTGCCCCCTTCTCAGCCAGGTTACCCAATGATCCCATTGATGAATTGGCGTTTAATTAATCCCAATGAATTATTTAGCAACTTCATTATCCAGCATCAGGAGCTGACGAGAGAGCCGCGACTGGCTGGCTGGTGGTGGGAGCACCACACAGATGTTGGGTGGCTCTGAGAGAGGAAGGGGCTGGGGTCACCAGCTTGGGGTAGCTCTCCAGGCCTCACCCCCAGGAGCTGGCCCTGGTCCTGACCAGAGGCGAGGGTGAGGGTGCGGTGATTGGGCTCCTACCGAACCTTTAAGAGGCTACTACCCACTGGCGCATGTGTCAAATTAATAATCAGCCTAATGAGTGCCATCTCTCTGCAAGTGCTGCGCCTCAGAACTACCGTCCATGGTGATGTCCCTTGCTCTGGGACCCTCTCTGGGTCAGGGCCGGCTCCTCAAATCCTAAAGGGAAACAATTGGGTGACGGGGGAATCAGCACCAATGATCCCCTCCTTAACCCTTCCCCTCCTCCGAGCCCCTCATTAACCCTTTCCTCTCTGTTTTCCCGCAGGCATCCCTCCCCCACCTTTCGTTGGAGCCCGCAGCGGGGGAGGGGCGCCTCCTCCTCCTCCGCCCGCCGCCGCCGCAGCCCCGGGAAGCCGGGACCTGGGCCTCTGCGCCTCGCCCCGCGGCCGGGCTCATGGCACTGTGAGCCGACGAGGGAGCCCCGCTCGGCGCGGGGGGCACCCGGCCCCCTCCCCGCCCCATGCACCCGCGGCTCTGAAACCTGAGCGGGGCCGGGGGCCGGGCGGGGCCGGGGCCGCCGGAGGCATGGCGGCCGGGAGCCCGTGGCGGCCGCCGTCGCCGTCGCCGTCGCCGCCGCCGCCGCTGCTGCTGCTGCTGCTGCTGCTGACGCTGGCGGCGGGCGCGGGCGGCCTGGAGTTCGGCGGCGGCCCGGGGCAGTGGGCCCGCTACGCGCGCTGGGCGGGCGCGGCGAGCAGCGGCGAGCTCAGCTTCAGCCTGCGCACCAACGCCACGCGCGCGCTGCTGCTCTACCTGGACGACGGGGGCGACTGCGACTTCCTGGAGCTGCTGCTGGTGGATGGGCGCCTGCGGCTGCGCTTCACGCTCTCGTGCGCCGAGCCGGCCACGCTGCAGCTGGACACGCCGGCGGCCGACGACCGCTGGCACATGGTGCTGCTGACCCGCGATGCGCGCCGCACGGCGCTGGCAGTGGATGGCGAGGTCCGCTCCGCCGAGGTGCGCTCGAAGCGGCGAGAGATGCAGGTGGCCAGCGACCTGTTCGTGGGCGGCATCCCGCCCGACGTGCGCCTCTCGGCGCTCACGCTCAGCACGGTCAAGTACGAGCCGCCCTTCCGCGGCCTCCTGGCCAACCTGAAGCTGGGCGAGCGGCCCCCCGCGCTCCTGGGCAGCCAGGGCCTGCGAGGCGCCGCAGCCGACCCCCTGTGCGCACCCGCGCGCAACCCCTGTGCCAATGGCGGCCTCTGCACAGTGCTGGCCCCCGGCGAGGTGGGCTGCGACTGCAGCCACACGGGCTTCGGCGGCAAGTTCTGCAGCGAAGGTGAGCCCGGGGGAGCCGCCGCTGGGCGCCGCGTCCCGGGGTCTTGGCCTGGGGGGTGTCCGCACCAGCACGCGAGGGTCGTGAGGGGCGGGTGAGGACGCGCGGTGGGGACAGGGAGCGCCTGGTTAGCCAGTGACCTGTGTGGGTGCGGCCAGTGCGGGACGACCTGGGGGTGGCACTGTGTCGTCTGGTCCTGCGGGGGGCTGGCGGGGAGACGAGGGGCCGGGCGCTGGCGGTCCTGCGGTGGGGTGAGTGAGGGAGTGTGGGCACTGGGCTGGTGCTGGCCAGGGGGCGCGGGGGAGGTCGCGAGGACTGCTCGCGGTGGCGGCGGGGGAGTGGGCCGCCTGGGGGCGGAGCGCGAGGGGCTGTGGGTGGGGCCGGTGTGGGCGGGGCTGCGGCGGGCCGGGGCTCGCGGAGCCCGCGCTGGCCGCGATCTGGGAGCCTCTGAGAGTGAAGCTGGGAAGTACCGCCGCTGAGGCCTGGGCAGGACGGGGGGGGGGGGGGGGGGGGCGGGGGGGGGGCAGAGGGACCGGGCGTCGGGGGAGAAGGGCGCGCAGCAAGGGCAGGTGAAGGGGGTGGAAGATGGCGAGGTTGTGATGGAAAGGGAAGTTTTGGGGAGGGAGAGCTTCCTCGAGTTCCCCAGAGGCGGAGCTGAGTGAAATGAGGGGACAGGTCGCTGGTGGCGCCAGGCCCGGGTCCCTGTGGGCTGTGGTTCAGGGGGAAGGAGGGACTTGAAGGCACTTGTTGTACTTTGGTCTGGTGGGGGAGTGGGGGAGACATTCCCCATCAGTTTGGGGGTGGGGATGGGAATCTCCTTCGGCCCTGGTCTGTGGTGCAGGCATGCTTTCCTCTGTCCCAGATGCCTAGAAGCTGTGGGCCATCTAGCAGCTGTGTGTGTGTCTGCGCACTCTCTCAAGAGGTGGAGTCTTTGGGGGGAGTGTGTGCATGTGCATGTGTGTGCCTGCATGTGCCTACAGACTGGTGCAGCCCTAGGACTGCTTTGGGGATGGGTGTCCTGCTGGCTGCCAGCATGTGGACAGCCATGGGAGGAGCTGAGTCTGCAGGTGCGGCCCTGGGTTTGGGATATACAGTATTTTAACTGTGTATCTGCGGTTGTGGTGGGGGAATCCTTAAGGAGAGTGTTTGGATTGCTTTTGTGGGGTTATTTATATAAGGTTGTGGGATATATCTTCAGGAACTGTGTGTATTAAGTTAACCTGACACCTTCTCACCTTTTCTCCAAGGAGTTCAGGTGCTCCCTAAACTGTGAAAGTGTGTGTCTGTGTGTGTTTGCCTGCATGTGGAGCTGTGAGTCTGGCACTGTGTGTGTTATGTGCGAATGGTTTGCCTGAACAGAGGAGTGTTTACAGATGGGAGTGCAGTGCCTAGGAGATTGAATAGTACACAAGTGTAAGGGTGTGTGCTCATGTGTAGGTAACCGTGTGCATGTGTTTTAATGTGAGACCTCAGTAAGACATTGGAACTCCATAGAGAATCTTCCTTTTCAAGACTTTGAACTTGATTTTCTGATCTCTATGACCTTTCCCCTCCCAGCCTTTCTAAGAAAATAGGATGAACCACACTTCTAACTTGATGGAAGGGGAATTTGAGCTACAGAAAGGTTACAGTAGTTAGTCCCTGGTCTCACTGGCAAAACTGGGCCTAAGGGGATCCCTGGGTGGCGCAGCGGTTTGGCGCCTGCCTTTGGCCCAGGGCGCGATCCTGGAGACCCGGGATCGAATCCCACGTCGGGCTCCCGGTGCATGGAGCCTGCTTCTCCCTCTGCCTGTGTCTCTGCCTCTCTCTCTCTCTCTCTCTCTCTGTGTGACTATCATAAATAAATAAAAATTAAAAAAAAAAACCTGGGCCTAAGTGTTTGAAAAATGCAGCCAGAGGCACACTGGTCCATCAGAGCCCCTGTGTCCATTCCCTGAAAGGATTTATTGGCCAGTGAGGTGCCCAGTGAGCCAAACAAGGTGTGTGCTTTTGAATATGGGCTGTGTGGTTGTATGTCTGAGATGTGTTGAAGTACCTGTGTGGAGGAGAGACAGTTGTGTGTATCATATGGATGTGTTGGATGTGTATGAGATAAATGTGTTAGCTGTGTTGAGCTGGGAGAGATGGCTGCATATCTGACACATTTTGTGTGTGTGTGTGTGTGTGTGTGTGTGTGTGTATGAGATTCATGAAGAAAAGGAAAAGGGGTATTAGGTGAGTGTCATACAGCTGGTTGGGGGAGAGTTACCTCTGTGTGTATGTATGTGTGATAGCTGTTGGGGAGTGGTGGTGCTTTGTCTGTGATAAAAGAGCAGAGATAGTCCTCTCTGCCTTCCTAATACCGAATATAGTACCAGGCCCTTAGTGGGTGTTTGATAAGGATTTGTAGAACGAATTAAGATATATTAATAAGTATTTGAGAGAATAAAGGCTTGGGTATGTGCATATGGAAATATGTCTGCATATATTTTCAGATATATGTTGTGGGTGGGCCTGGGGTTGTAAACACTGATTGTTTCTGGAGGTGACAGGCACAGTGACAGCCCTACTGATTTGTCTCCTTCTCCCCACCCTGTGACCTCATTCCCTCTCTTTATATTTGTTCCTATTTCCTGGGCAGCTTTTGTAATATCCTGTGCTCATTACACTACTTCTAGTACATTCTCATCCAGCAGAGGAGGAAAGGAATGCACTCCTACCTTTGGGTGTGGGGGTTGAGGAGGAAGACTTTAAGGGGACTAGGCCTGGCTCCTCATCCCAAGACAGAGCCCAGGGCCAGAGTCCCCAGGTTTCCCCTGAAGTTACAGTCACGTCATTATTATCTGCTTTGAGTGATTCTCAATTTTATGGAGATTGTGGGCATTTTAAAAAGCCAGTAATTCACAGTACCTTTCCAAATAGGAGTTATTTTTATATCTGTCCGCTGTGAAAATGGACGACTTAAACTGCTATGAATTCAGGAAAGCTTTTAGATGACTTCAATGTTATATTTGCCATTGTGGTTAATCAAATATACATTAGAAAAAAAGTTTTTTAGCTTTATATGCAAGACATATCAATTTGCCTTCAGTATCTGGTGTGCATATGGATTTGTGGATGCTTTGGAATCCCCCCTGCCTTCCTGGGTCTGGGCCTACCCATTGACCGAGAACTTCCCTGTTAGGAAATGTGCTTTTCCCCGCCCCCTGCCCCTGGTGTGAGGGGGGCAGTTCTAACCACAGGTAATTGAAGAGAGAGCTAAGTATGAGTAACTAAGTGTGTGTACCCACTGCTGATTATCACCATAGCTGGGATGGAGTCGACAGGGACTGTGCAGTGATTTGGATGTGAACTCCTCCTGTCACTCATGTGTGAGGATAAAGGGCTGAAAAGTGACCAGGGGAGAGGCTGTGCAGGTATATGTGTGAGACCTCGAGTGGAATGGGTGCACAGATGTATAGGACGGAATGGCAGGGGTCTACCTAGTTCAGGAGAGGAGTATAAAGCTACTTGTAGTGATGGTGTGCCAGCAGGGAGGTAGAGGCATGTTATTCATGTGTGGGCTTCTTATGTTGGTTAGTGATTGAATTCTATAAGTAGCTATGAGGCCTTCTTTGTGTGAGGCCTCATGTTGAGAGCTGAAGGGGGGGTCAGATATGAATAAGATGCTGCTTGGGGTGTCGGCTGTTTAATTGGGAAAACAGGTAAAAAAGCAGTCCAGTGTGTGGTGAAGAGCACAGATTCTGCAGCCAGACTGCCCAGGCCATGTGACCTTGGACTTCAGCTCTCTCTGTCCTGGTTTCTTTTTTTCTGGAAAATGGGGGGTAATAATTTGTACCTACCTTACAGAGTTGTTATGGGAGCTAAATCAGCTAATTCACATGAAGTGCTTAGACTAGTGTCTGGCACATAGAAGATGGTCAATAAATACCAGCAAAAGAAAACAGATGAAATAGTGTAATATATTCCCAAAGAGATGCAGCAAGGCAGTGCAGCTTAGTGATCAAATGCAGACTCAGGTCTGGGTTTCTTTCTTTCTTTTTAAAATTTTCTTTAAAAATTTTATTTATTTATTTGAGAAAGAGATAACGAGAGCAAGAGCACAGCAGGGGGGAAGAGGGAGAAGCACGTTTTCCTCTGAGCAGGGAGGCCGACACTGGGTTTGATACCAAGACCCCAGGATCATTATCTGAGCTGAAGTCAGGCGCTTAGCTTTACAGACTGAGCCCTCCAGGGGCCCTTCAGGTCTGGGTTTCAATCTGACTTCTGCATTTACTAGGCCTATGCCATCAGGTGAATGCCTAACCTTCGGACGAATTTTTCCTTACCTGTAAGTGGAGATAAGCATGCTTGTACCACAAGTCTGTTGTGGGTATTAAATGAATGTCTGGTACATAATAAATGGTTAGTAGATGGTAGTTACTATAACAAGCAGAATGCTATTGATCATTTGAGGAGGGAGATGGTTTTACAAGTTGGGGAGGGGGATCCGTAATAAAAGGCATGCTATTGAAGACTGACCTACGGATGGATGAGTAAGCTTGGTTTGAGGAGGCCACCCCATGCATAGACAATAAAAACAAAGACATGGAAGGAAGGGATGTGTACGTCATGTCCGTAGAGGGGCATCAAGAATATAAGAAAAAGAATGGAATCTAAAGCAGGAGAAGCAGGTTGAAGTCACATCTTGGAGTTTTGACTTAATCATTCAACCAAAATTTATTGGATATTGTGTCCTGAGTATTGGCAAATGCAGCCACCAAAGAATCTTAAGTAGATATATGAATAATAAGAGCTATATTTCAGAGGCTGGGAGTGTGGTATAGAAGCATTAGAGGGAGCAGAGTTGTGCAGTGGAAAAATCAGTTGGGAGATAGTTCAAGAGAGAGATTTTGAGGCTCTGAACCGTGCTTGTCTTGGAGAGTGGTGAGGATGGGGGGTGGCACTTGTGACAGTAGTAGAAGCAGCGGTGCTGGTGCTCCGGAGCTGTTGCTGGGATGGAAGCTCTAGGACTCACAGGGAGG